TCATCCCACAGAAGGAGCTGGTTTGTGTGCCCAGCAAATACATTAATTTAGGGTTTAATCCTTCCTGAAGCTGTGCAAAATAAAATCTGTATAATGATACTTGGCCTAATTGCCTTTTCTCTTCATAACTTAAATAAGAGCAAAACTTTCCTGCAGTGGGTTTTAATTTTGGTCTACGCCAAGTAGTTTAGCTTTAAAAATAGACCAAGATCTGTATTGACCGTTCTTTGTTTGGGGCCTAGTTTGGAGGTGTAAAAGTATCCCACACTATGATTCCTATGGAGATTTGGGGATGTTTTGGTTTATAGACAATAATAATAAAAGGCAGGAGGCTGAAATTTTAGACTAGGGACTTGCAACAATGTCCTAGAAGGGCAAGTCTGTAGGAATGCTTATCTGTAAATTACAGTACAGATGGGGACTACAATCCAGGTCTCCTACATCCCAGTCCAACATTCGCACTAATACGCCATACTGGGTCTCTTAGTGGGAGCTACTCCTTAGTAAATGTATGCCCCTGTGCTATTAGCTGATTTGGCCCACTTATTAAATGTGATGTCTTCCATTCTATCTTATTCATTCCACAGTCCACACACAGAGAATGAAATCAGTCTTCCAGGAGAGGTAAAACAACTGCAAATGGTTAAGAATAATTACACCATCCAGTCAAGAGAGAAGTAAATCAGTTACCATTCAATATGATCCTGTGAACAGAATCAGAAGCGCTTGCTGTAGGAAGGGGTGTAAATTCACACCGCAGGTGGGACTGCCTTCCTAAGAGTTACAGACCAGGGTACCGTTGTCCCCTTCAAAACACTGAAGGCTCAGAAACACTGATTTTTAGCCTCTTCTGACTTGATGATTCCAGGGTAACTTTCCCGGACAAGCTATAAATATTGCAGAAATTGCTCCCACAGATGGTATTGTAGTTGTCCAAACTGTGCTTTCTCTGAAGAGCAATGTAGCGCCACAGACAGAAGACTGGACGTTAATGGGGAGAATCTGGGTGCAGATCTTCCCTAGCCATCCCCTTGGATCAATCACGCTCTTTCAGTCCAGCCCACCTCACAGGGACTGCTGTGGCAATAAAACAAGGTGTTCCACACAAGCTGTCCTCACCCTCTTATAGAAGCTGAAGAATGCAAGCTTTGCTTTAGTTCATGCCACAGTAAGTCACCCTTCCCAAACTGTACTTCAACTAACAGCAGATCCTTTGCCAGGCAACAGGACAAATTATTTCTAGAGTGAAAACCATGTTTGCACCAGCTCAGCTGCGACTCCACAGCACACAAGAGAAAAATGTACTGGAGTTATGCAACATACATGTGGGCGGAAGAACTTTCCAGTCGTGCATTGTCTGGCATGAGGTTCATGATTATCTTTAAGGCTGGGTAAGTGGCACACATACAATCATGATTAGGATGCAATTCAGAACCTATAAAACGTTGTATCTGTAAACTTGCTCATAGGCGTGCAGGCCAAGTCATAGAGGAGGAAGACAGGCTGATGGAGAAACCAAATGTGCAGTAATTATAGAATTGCAAGATAGGCAGAGGACAGTGACCGCATATGGGTTTTATCGCGAGCGTTCCATGGCATCATGCTTTCCTCTCACAACTCTGTCCCACACCATTTTTTATGAGAGCTCTCCTCCCAACCATCAGGCCCTTGTGGTCAACAGAAACCCTTACTTGAGGGTTTTGCGATGGCTACTAGCAGTTGAAGCCAATGCAAAGGGCATTTATACACACTGACGTCAACACTGGGATGCAGTCCCTGCACATTGTAACCCAGAAACAGTAAACAGTTTTTTCTTCTCATTCCATGAAGATGCTTCAAAGAATTTCCTCGGATTTATATATGGAAAGGGTTCATAATGATGGCTTACTGTGCAATTTAACATGAGATGAAGAAGGGAGCCATGGGGCCACATATTTTCCAAGTCAGATCAGAGAACTAGGCTTTGGTTTACTGAAGCCAGAGGATGGATTTAGATGAGCTGAGCTAAGAATCCCATCTTACCATAGCTGGGGTCACCCTGAAGGGTTGTTGTGGAGAGGGTGCCCTAGTTACTACCAAATGAGACTTTTCTTGTTCAAGTGCCTCACCTAATTTTCTGCAAGCCAAGACATCATCTTCTTCGGTTTGCAGTCTTGTCATATTTTAATTTCTTACTCCAAAAAAATCCGATAAGGATGACAAGACAGAATAGCTGCTGATGCCTTCAACTTTTAGTGTTGGGAGTCTTCCATCAGGTACCTTGCTCCTTTTCAACTCATAAAATAGGAATTTATATTGAATTACCTCACAGGATTGTTGCAAGATGCACTGAGGCAAAGAGATGTTTTTACTAGCTCCTGCACATCAGAGACAGGTAAGGCTATACATCCAAATAAATAAATGAGGAAGTTTGAAGTACTGCCCATGCCAAAAGTGGTTGGAAAGAATCCTCGCCAAGTTTTAAAAGCTTTCTTAGGGATCTCAAGAACTTACCCATTCTTCTTCCTTTTGAACAGTCACCTGAGGTGAAGGTATCTATTAGCCAGGATTCCCTCTTAGTCAAAACAGCTTCCTCTTGTGATAAAAACTGTATGTGGTGCCCCTTTGTTCAGGATTCCAGCCATGCCTTCTTTCAGTGTACACCATATTTCTCCTCCCAATTCCCCAAAACACATTTCCCTACAACAATCAGCCAGCGTTCACTAGGCATGTTCAGTCTTCCTTGGGCTGTTTTGGAGACACTTCCTTATGTGGGTGGGGTCCTTTTCTTATACTTCTGCAAGCCTTGGGGTTCCCTCAAACTAGCCAATTCCTCCCCTTGGGCGTGGATGGTGCACTTTGGGTAAACAGGGACCAGGAATTTGAAAACCGATGACTAACCAGGTGACAGAGTTCCTCTTAAAGCATAGGCCCCCTAACGCACATTCTTTAGATTTGCAAACTTCAACCTGAGGTGGTGAGGCAGAAAAAAATAAGACCTCCTAGAAAATCCTCCAACCTTTTCTTGCTCTGCTGGGGAAAAGCAAGTGTTTTGGAAAATGGTAGCAAGAACACTGGCAAAGATGATCTTTTATACAGTTGGGCTGCATTCTCACAAACAGTAGATGAGGAGACAAAACTATCTCTGAGCTGTTCTGCTTCAGTTTCTTGTTATTTTTGTAACTGAGGGCTGCTTTGCCAAAAAAAGAGAAAAAAAGTGGGGAGGGGGGAGAAAGGGGATCATTGCACTTAGGAAACTGACACGTCTGAAAGAAAACTAGGTGATAATGCTTCTTCGGTCTCATTTTGCAATCCAGCCCCAGCAAAGTTCCTGGAGGTGGGAACAAGAAAGATTTCTCAGTGCCCCCTTCATCTCTCAACCACAAAAGACTGCATGTTTCTCATCCTCAAGAGGACGACTGTGTCAAAGCAAGATTTGTGTGACATACAAAGTGACAGCGGATTGATCAAGCAAGCAAGGAAAGATGCACACAGATATCCCAGGAGAGTCCTGCTGCAGTAACGGTAGCTGGAGAAGAATATTCCATCTGTATAAAAGACTTGTGCTTGCTTATCCGAGTGTCAGGATATGCCCGATTACAGCTAGAGATGACTTGTGAAGTTTTTATTTATTTTATCTATTATTCAAATGTGTGTACTTTTCATGAAGGTTGTCAAATCTGTGAACACGAAGTTTGTTGTTGTTGCTGTTATGTGCCATCAGGTCACCTGATGTAGGGGAACCCTGTGAACAAAAGCTCCCCAAAATGTCTGGTCCGTGACAGCCCCGCTCAGCTCCAGGCTGTGGCTTCCATGATAGAGCCAATCCACCTCTTGGTGGTTTTCCCTGTTCTCTCTCTGCCTTGACCTTCCCTGGCATGATGGTCTTTTCCAGGGAGTCTGGTCTTCTCACGATGTGCCCAAAGTGTGAGTGTCTCAGTTTTGTTTCCAGTGAAAGCTCTGGCCTTGTTTGGACCCAGGGCCAACATGTCTGTTTAGGCCTTTTGCAAGCTCTCCTCCAGCACCACACTGTGAATGCATCCGTCTTCTCCCTGCCAGCTTTCTCTGCAGCCCAGCTTTGGTGACTGGGAATATACATCCTTGGTCTCCAGTAAAAATATCCCTACACTTGATGTTCTTTCCTAGTTCCCCCTTTGCTTCCCCTCCAAAGCCCCCTTCCCCCTCTTCTTTGAATTTCCTGGCTTTCAATTGATGATTGAGTCAAGGTATGCAAAATCTTTCACAATGGCAAATTCTTCATTCTTAACAGTATAGCTGCCTAATTCTTTTGTAGCCATGATTTTTGCTTTTTTAATGTTCGGCTTTTGCATTCGTTTGCTTTCAGCATAAGAACAATAACAGACATGACAATAAAAACAAATTTAGCAGTGCATGTTCTGCTGTGTGCTGCAAAGCCTCCATGGCTGGTCACCCTTTGGGGAAAGCCTACTTAAAGAGGAGAGTTTGAAGAAGACATCTTCTGGAGGTGGCACCCTCAGAAGCCCTTCTGATCCTCATGGAGATTGGGCAGGGATGAAACCAGGAGGTGGTAACCCAGTCCCAAGTTGTTCAGGGCTTTACATGTTAACAAGAACGCTCTGAGCGTGGCCTCTAAGTCCATTGGCAGCCCCTGCAGCTCTTTTAGCAGGGAGTGCGCCATGCGGCTGACCACTCCTCCTCTCTCTTCCTATAGTGTGCAGCTCCATTTAGGATCAGGGCCATTGTGCAAAAGGAGGGAGGAAGGGAGGGTTAAACTCCACTGCACCAGCCACTAGGGTTTTACAAAGGGGGTGCACACGCCATTGTCCTTGACGGAGGCACAATGCCTTGCGAAAGGCGCTCCGCAGAGGCCTCCTTCCCTCAGCCCGGGGGCGGTGGCTCCGGCGGCGCTTCCCGCCCCTTTCCGCGTGCCGCGTCGCAGGAAGCCCCGCCCCGCCCGGGCCACGCCCCGCCCCTTTCGCAGCGGAGGAGGCCTCGCTCGGCCCGCCCCTCTGACGCAGCCAAAACCCCGCCCGGGCTAGCTGCCCCGCCCCTTCCGCCGCGCGGCCCGGGGGAGGCGGGCGCGCAAGATGGCGGCGGTGCTGAGGACTCTGCTGCGGGCGCCTTCTCTTCAGGTCAGAGTCGCGGCCTGGCCCGCTTGCCGCTCTCCCCGCGCGGGGCGCCTCCTACGACGGCGGCTCGCGTGGCCCTCAGGAGCCCCGCTGCAGGGCGCCCGGGACGCGGCCCGCCTTTTTGAGCGGGTGGCTGCGCGGGGCGCCCGCCGTGCCCGGCCGCCTGGCGCGCTGCTGATGCGCGGGCGGGCGGCCGTGCTTGCGGCGTGCTGGGGAGGAGGACGAACAGGGCTGCGGCCATGCGCCGACGCAGCAGAGCGCGCGCAGTGAGGCTTGCTCTTGAGGAGGCCGACGGCACGGTGGGGTCGCCAAGTCATTTTCTGCAGTGTAGGCCTGAAGGTCGTTTCTGTTTGCAGGGCGGGTGGGGCGCTGGCGACCTATTTGCTGTGCAAGAGGTGAGCCTACCGCTATTGGGCCCTGAAGCGCACAGATTTGTGTAGCATTTGCTCGAATGAGGGTTCGCCTGTTCTTCTAGGAGGCTCGTACCCCGCAGTGTAAGAAAGCCAGTATGTTCGGTTTGTTTAAACAAAATGCTGTTTAAGCCAGCTATTAACATGCATCCTTTAGACCATGAAGCACTTCTTGGTTTAATTGTCTGGTAGGTGCCTGTTGCAGTGAATGGCCTTACTTTTGAGTAGACACAGCCTTGCACTCTTAGCTTCACAGAAATCTGGCTGATAACCTGCTGTGTTATTTCAAAACCGGAGGTAATCAAGTTTGGCCTGGGCATAAGGCTGTTTGGCAAGCCCACGAGTGAACTATAATTTCATCAGGAGATTCCCAGTTTCAAAACAAGCATTGCACTAGATTTAGTTTAAAAACGGAATGGATTAAGTCTAACTTGAATAGCTATTGTCCTGACCACTTGTGGCAAGCAATAATTGTTCTAAAGTAACCAGGCAGTTACTAGAATAGCTAGAAGAGATAAGAATGCCTTCTTAAATGAACAGTGTAAAGAAATAGAAGAAGGCAATACAATAGGGAGAACCAGAGATCTCTTCAAGAAAATTGGAGATTTTGACTGGTTCAAAATTGAAAAAGGAGTTCGGCAAGGCTGTATACTGTTGCCCTGCCTATTTAACTTACATGCAGAGCACATCATGAGAAAGGCAGGGCTAGATGAATCACAAGTTGGAATTAAGATTGCTGGGAGAAATACCAACAATCTCTGATATGCAGATGATACCACTCTCATGGCAGAAAGTGAAGAGGAACTAAAGAGCCTCTTGATGCAGGTGAAAGAGGATAGTGCAAAAGTTGGCTTGAAACTCAACATTAAGAAAACTAAGATCATGGCATCCGGTCCTCTCACTTCCTGGCAGATAGATGGGGAAGAAATGGAGGTAGTGACAGATTTTATTTACCTTTACATTGGCTTATACTTCAAAGCCTTTATTGTGAAAGCTGATTTGTCAAAATGTTGAGGAGTAGTTAGATTTCAAGAGTAACACTAGCACTCTTTTATCTGGATAATATCTGACCATTTACACAAGATGAGCTGAATCTTGACTCCAGTTTCCATTTATTATAGTTCTCCCCCCCACCCTGTATTGGGCAAATAAGGGGCCGCTATGTGGACTGGAGGATGCTACGTGATGTTAAGAGAAGGAAGATGGCATTTGAATATGCAGATCAGAGACTGCGGCTGAATTGCATTAGGAAGAACACAATTTTGCCCAAAGAGCTCCAGGTAAGAATATTACATGCTAAAGGTATTCAGGACCCCTGCACTGGGTCAGTTTATCTCTCCTCCTAACTACCCAATTCTATTTATTAATTACAAAGCACAGCAGTCCACTGGTTGAAGTTTCACCAGGGTCTACACAGAATGTGCTTATTTCCGAATTACTTATCTGCTGCAAACCCACTGCTTCTCCATACCTGGTTTATTCCAATTTTCAGAGTCTGCAGGGCCTAAGCAACCTCTGTTAATGGTACTAGAGGCAACAGCCAGTACAGTTCTTAAATTGACCACTGCCCAGAGAGCCCTATAGGACTGTGGAAGGGGTTCAGAAATCCCATGGTGTACTTCAACAGATCCGGGTATCAAGTACTTGTTAAACCATTACATTGTGGATCAGAATGGAAGACTACTAGCTGATTACTAGTACGATTTTATGTGGTTTTTAGCTGCTGCAGTTTTATTTTTGTCAGTTGCTATGCTATTTGCAGTGTGAGCCACCCAGAGAGATCTTGGGCTAGGGAGCGGCATACAAATGCAATCAATTACAAAAACTAGCAAACTGTATGCAAGAGCAACTGCACCCCATGTGACAGGCATCACCAACCCCGCTTTCCACTTATCTCAGGAAGTAGCAGACAAAGAGATTGCCGCCCTGCCCCGGGATAGCTGCCCTGTGAGGATCCACAACCGCTGTGTTCTGACCTCCCGTCCACGAGGTGTGGTCCGGCGCTGGAGGCTCAGCCGAATTGCTTTCCGCCACCTGGCCGACCATGCCCAGCTCTCCGGGGTGCAGAGAGCAATGTGGTGAGCTATGGAGAAGGCTTCTCTTCAAGCAAGGCAAAACCGCATCCTGCTTGTGCTCCCAAGAGTGCAGCGAAGGCTCTGTATAGATCGCAGCCTCCAAAGAAAAGGGGCGGGGTGTGCCAAGTGGAGAAACACTGCTCTGGAGAGGACGTTGTCCGGACCTGTAGATCTGCTCTTAGTATCTTAAAGACTGTGAAAAAAATAAACAGCCCAAGACTTGATTCCAGTTCATTTGTCACATTTAAATTTCAGTGTATGATGTTACAGTGTTGCAGAACATATTCCATAGCCCATATGAAAAAGGACCAGTATGTATGGTCAAACTGGGTTTCAGGGTATGCTTTCAGATTAACTATATCTAATTAGTAGATTAAAATGGATAATGACTGCAATCAGAATCAGGAGGAGTACATGGCCCAAAAACAAAGCGATAAGAGGTACTGGGAACAGCAGTTGCGCTGGGTCGTTTTCCACAGCATTTCACTATAAGCCCGAGAGGGCAGGGATCCTTGTGGATGTTACTGCGAATATTGCTGCAATTGCTTATGTCTCACTCTGTCTTCTTATGGCATATCAATTTCTCCCATTCCCCTCTGCAGGGATTAACTGTTCATGCCAGTATTCAAAGTAATCCTTTTCCTGAATATCGGAATAGTACACCAAGCAATGTTATAACAAGTGAAAGAGTGTAGCCTAAATATTGATCTTGGAATGTACACCATCTCTGAGGAAAAATCGGGGTCCGCTCTGCTTGCCTTTTCTAAACCTGCCAGTTTACGCATAGTTGGAACATTTCACCAAGTCAACAATTTTCAGAGTTACAAGTTTCCTCATCTTAGGTCAACTTGTGCAGGTGTGGGATGCAGTCAAGCTAATTTACTTATTTTTGGCATTTTCACAAAAGCACTTGGAAAGTTTAAAGCCGTAAGAAGGGCAAAAACACACATGAAGACAATGCTTTACAGCGGTGATGTGTTAGTCTCCAATTCAAAACACAAAATTCAGTCTTTGCTTCAAACAAGGTTATGTAAACACAACGCTTTCAGATCTCTGCATCAGAACAGAAGCCCATACAGAAAATTTACATTAGGATGGCTAGCCTGGTTGGCATTCATTCACAGATCTACTGGCAAATCTTCTTTGGTTTGCTTTTCTCGACTCTCAACCCAGGCTTTGTTAATGGATCGTTTCATCTCATCATCTCCTTCAGCATACATCTTTTTCAGGAGATTCATCAACCCCTCGCTAGGGTCTGATGTGTCATAGGAAGCTTTCCTAAAGCACATACAGATATAGAAAAAAAATTACCACCAATTACACACCAGGTTTGGAATGTTCTGTGACAAGGTTTAAATTTTTAAAAAGATGACTCAGTGATTAAACCCACTTACATGAAAAAAAAAATCAATGAGAGTGTTTCACAGAGAGATTGCCAGGAATGGACTGGGGCGGGCAGGGGAGAAGACAGGAAGCCCAAATGAACTTTCCAAATCTTCCAACTTACTCCGAAAGATGAATGTATACAATTTCACCTACGGTCAGATGTACAAGCTACAGCATGTCTGAGACTTCATGTGCATCTGACCAGAGAAGAGATTGTTAAAGAGTTCAGAGATAAATGTCTCTGCGGGACCCATTCTCTGCCTTGTAACACAAAGCCTCTACAGCACATCCATGAAAAGAGCACTTGACCTCCCACAGCTGAAACCAGTGTCTTGCCAGAGCAGAATATGGTAGTGATCAGGATGAATAAAAACACCGGTTCTTTTTAAAAATGCATTTCCCCATCATTTCAAAAATAGCATAGTAGCAATTAAATCTAATCTCAAATATATACTTAGGAGTCCCATAGAAATTAATGGCTCTGCTTCACGCACAGTTACCTGTCAACCCCAGATGGGTACTGTTTTGCTTTTCTCAAAAATGGTTTTGAAAACACTGAGCTCTGCCATGGGCTTTTTTTTGCATGGAGAAGACATCAATCTTGGATATTGCCAAATAGGGCTGGGCATGAACCCTGCCTGCTACCCTGGAAAGCAATAGCCACTCTGGGTCCACAGCAGTGGGTTAGCTGATGTTTCTCTAGCCTAAGGTCACCTGTGCAGTGTGCTTGTTGTTCCATGCATACATGGAAGTGAAGCTGGGCCAAGCAAGGTGGAGGAACTGGTTGGAGCAGAAAAGCAATACAGGAAAGGACAGCTGGGAGCAGCATGGTAAAGAAAAATGGAGTAAATTGGAATTACTTCAAGACTATTTGGAGTGCACACATGGCTTCCAGGCTCTGCATCCCCCCAGATTGCAAGAAGACCTGTTCTAGTTCTTGGTTTCAAAAACCTGCTGATCCCTCAAACATCTTGCACTGATCACTGGAACTCTGGGTTAACAAGATTAGTTTTGCTGATCCATTCATTCAGATGCAATACTGACAGAACAATCAACAGAAGGAGACTTACTCTTTCTCCTTAGTCTCCTTTTCAACCTTTGTCAGGCACTCCCATTTCTCTTCTCGCTGCTTCTTGCATAATATCAAAACTGTGTCTGTTTTGATCTGTAAAGAAATTTAAGCAGAGCTCCAAGTATTTAAAGGCCACAATGAGGCAGAATAGGCAACTATTTGCATTGATTACATTTTAAAGCATTGGTATACAATATTGTTTAAAACAATTGAAAGTTCAGAGTATTACAAGGTAAAGGCAGGTAGATGAAGTGTAGAATCCTATGTGCCTGCACTTGGAAGGTCACTAGCATCCAATCAAGCACAGGAGAAATGCAGGAGTGAGAACTGGCTCAGCTCTGACCCTTAAAAATGGCTGATTTCAGCCGTCTGAACCCTCTTCCCCGCGACACAATGAGAGGGGCGGAGGAAACGCAGACTGCAGAAGTTCCAGCCTGAATGTTCTGTGTATATGCACTGCTCCTCTTCTTGACAGTTTACAGTCACAGATGTTGATTGCTAGTGAAAGATCCAGGACCACAGTGCACGTGTTCCTACAGAGAATCTCTGCATGCCCCGGCTCCACCAGGTCCAAGGCTTCCTGCTGGAGTTGGGGAAACCATGGATAAGGTTAATTTGCTTCTCCCCAAAAGGCTGGTTTGCTCAGGGAGGGCCTCTCTGGCTGGGTCCCCATCACAGCAAAAAACCCTGCACTGTTTCCACACTGAGTGGATTTTTGCCCGAACTGCCCAGTCAGAGGGAAATGAGGTTACCATGGCAAAATGGTTTCTGCACTCTCCGTTCTGCCCTCCCACCTTCACCAAGCACCCCAGCAGCCCCTGCAAGCAAAATCCCTGCCTCCCCCAGCTCCCACGATGAAAAGCATTTCCCTATTTTCATTATTCAGTGAAAAGCATTTCACTATCCCTTCTCTCTTTGTGTATTTTCATGCTGTCTCCTTGTTAGCAAAAGTAAATGGGAAGACGGACACACTGCTTGACCAATGAGAATAAAGTGATCAATGAGGCTTGTGTTACTAGGGTGCGAGGGGAACAGAGATCGAAGGCTAGAAGTGGCCACCTCCACAGCTGCTCTTGCCAGGAATCTCTATGGTGTTTCCATAAAATCAAAGCTAAAATGGCGATTCTGGTCCAGATGAGTGGAGAAGCCATAATGAAGTGGAGAAACCTGAGAAGACTGAATTTTCCCCATGATTTTGGAAAACGAATCCTAGCATGAAGGCACTCTGGATGGGATCCAGACAACACAAAAGACCCACAGTATTTCACCATGGCTTTTCTGGTCTGTGAACTGACCCTCTATGTTGTGGTGCACTTTTGATCAGGTGCATGATCCACCTGTAGTCTGAAGAGCTGCCACCCAGAGTTTCACCATCCCACTGAGCACAAGGCTTCTCTGACCCTTGACTGCCAGCCCTTTATTGCCCAGAAGACTTGGAAACAAAAATAAATATTTGGCTAGGGAGTCCCCTGGGAACAGCTGTCAGTCTTGATACAGCAGAAGCAGGCACATCCTGCTCTAGTATGCTGAATAATGACAAAACAGATTTGCAGTTAAGTCCCTGAAAAGGACGATAAGGAGCAGCCCTGAAGCGTGGAATCATGGCAGTCTGCAGCACTTTCAGCAGCGACTAGATGAGATGCACTGACCTTCCGTGAGCTGCTTTCCACGGAGATGGGATTTAGAAGGTTGTTGAATGTCATGGTATAATTCTTGTTATTTAGATTCTTCACCAACAGATCAAATGATCTAGAAGGGAAAGAAAAGAAGTCATAAATGCAGTGTCCCCTAACAACCATTAGACAAGAGTTGGGAAGGAGCATCTTAAACTGGATTTTAAACCCAAAGCAATCTATCTTAATATCTGAGCAGTAGTTTTGAATAAAATACCCAGGGCTTTAAAATTTTAAAAAAAAAAATCTCTGATGAGGGTTGCAGTTCCTTAGGATGACAGAGTGAGCATCAGGTATCCATTTCAGGTGAGAGGGTGAGTTACAAAGAATACTGGAAGTATTCTAGTAGTTTGTGCAGTAAAGAAAAACAGTCAACATTTAAAGGACCACCATTCCTAGATAGTGTACTTCTAGAAGGTCGCAACAACCAGCGGTCAATTGCGCCACTAGCTCTCCTCCTGTTCAATTTCAGCAGCAAGGAAGTCTGCTCTGAGCGCTTTCTCCAGAAGCTCAACTAGCAGGAAAAACACTCCTCTCTCTCTCCCTGCTCCAAGAACAGAAAGAAAAGGAAAGGTGGCTTGGCTATAGGAAGGGACTTCCCACCTGCACCTTCTGCAAGAGCAGCAAAAGGACAAACTCTGCTCCCTTCTCAGGTTCTCTGTGCACGCCCTGGGATTGGACACTGGCAGGTCTGTGGTGACAGAAATAACCAACTTGGCTAGACAGCCAAACCAGTATTTCTTGACCATGCCACCCTTTTAAGAACAATTATTCGTTGTTTTTTAAGTTTATTTAATCTTTTAAATGGATAATTAAAATATAATTTATACAGTTTGAACTTTAAAGTTAATTATTTTTAGTTATTTTTAAAAGAAACTGAAGGTGTGCTTCCGGATGTTTCTGAGGGTTTCTATCACTAACTCCTGTTCACACACCTACAAACATGAGACTGGGGGAAAACGCTTAGGGTTTGTATCAAAAGCTCATAAAATAATTCTCATCAGAATGAGTGGCAAGGGACTAACGGCTCAAGAGATTACTGGCATTTCAGCTGGTACTTTCTGTTGCTCAGCAGAATGCTTACCTTTCTGTAAAGTGCACTTGCACATTCTCAGGTGGGAGGTGCTGAACTCCACTTAAAGTGATGTAGATTTTCACAAATTTATCTGACTGATCCCAAGCTAAAAGAAGAGAAAGTCACATATTACATAGAAAGATCCAAATTTTAGGTCAGAGTAAATGATTTTTTGGTATCGTGGGATATGCACAGTGCCTTCCTTTGAAAACTGAGGGCTACAATATTCTCTTCACCCCAGTGCACCCCAGTGCAAAAGGCATATGTGAATTCAGTCCTACCATAATTGTTGATTTTTACTGTGTATCCTGTCAGTGGTGTTTTTTCTTCTTCAGATGTATCTGCTTTTAATTTGAGTGGTGTCTGGTTCTTGATTTCTTTCTCTATTTTATTCTTTTCTGCCAACAGGACACTTTGGACTCTCTTTCTTGTTGCTTTTTTCAGAAGCTCTTTCACTTCTTCCAAATCTTGCTGGAGCTGGTGAAGCAGATTAGGTGCACAGTTTGTTAAATACGGAGCCATTTGTATTTTTGTTAAAACTGTGTGCCCTGCTCTATCACGAAGTGCTTCTGAAACAATTTTAAAGCATTCGATGCAGACAAAGTGACAGAATAAACCGAAACACAGTTGACTTTTTTTTAAAATGTGATGCCTAAAAATTACAATGGCACTCCAGGGACAGGAGAGGCCCTCTCCTCTTGCCAAATGCCTAAATTCAAAAAGTGTGGGAAAACCCAGACTAAGACTGCTTCTGCCATTCCAGGCAGGAGTGAGACACCCGCAGCCTCTGAGGCTGATCAGTTCAGCCTTCCCACAAGACTATTTTCTCTCTTTTGGCCTCTGCTGGGCAGGGAGAAAGAGAGGGGGAAGAGGTCCTGCTCACTTCCAGTGCTGGTCTTGCTCATGACCTGCATGATGTGCAAACCTGATGAGGTAGATTAGGCTGAGACTAACTGATGATCCAGTGAGCTTTATAGCAAAGCAAGGCTGAACGCAAGCCCTTGCAAGTCCAGTCTAATTAAAGTCCTCAATGCATGGAGTTGGGAGGGGCTACAGCTCTTGCTCCACCATCTCTTCCCCCGATTTTTGCTGGTACAGTTGGACATATCCATGCACATCGGCATGTGGGGCCAGGAGGCACAGTCCTGTGTCCTCCCCACACATTTCCTCTTCAGTGTACAGGGCGACTGGTGAAGAGAATTTATCACATGCCATGGTAGTTGCAGCTATTTTATTTATTTATATGAGGTATTTGTAACCCACCCATTACGGTTCGTCTATGGACAGCTTACGATATAAAACACCTAAAAAATACATCATACAGCTAACCCTGGGAAGTCCCGGGTAGAATCCTAAAAGACAGATTACACTAGAAATAGTGACTAGCCAACTCAAAAAACACTTTATCCGTTATGTTTTGGTGATGGCAAGAGGCATTGCTCAACCTCCATGGTTCCGATACTGCCCACAGGGAAGTCAAGGGGACAGAGCTGGAAGAATGCTTTTATACCCATCTTGCAAATCAGTTCTCCAACATACCGTATCTTTTCACAGCACAGGCTGGCATGTTACATCCCGTGAAAAGCCACTGAACAGATGGAAGGGGCCTATAAGGCCGCTGAGTCCAAGCCCCTGTTTAGTGCAGTACCCCAGGTTAAACCATCCCTCTCAGAAGGCTGTCCAGCTGCATCCTGAAAGTCTCCAGTGTGGGGGAGCCCATGACCTCCCCAGGTCATGGGTTCCATTGTCCTACTGCTCTAACAGTCAAGAAGTTTTTGCTGGCTTTTATCCTGTGTCCTACACTCCAGGATGATTAAGAAGAGATCTCGGTCCTCCTCAGTGTGTGGCAGCCGATCAAGTATTTGAAATGTGCTTCTTCCTTGTCTCTTCCTTCTACAAGTCCAACTAGCCTCCCCACAAAGAAATATATGCCCTATAGCTATGGGCAAGTCCACAAAGGTCAAGCTGTACCAAAGCCTAGTTCTGATCTTGCAAATAAACAATGCTGATTTGATTGGGCAAATCTAAGCAGTCATTGAAAACACTGGAATCATGTTTTTTCTGCCCTAACCGCATAATAAAATACAGTTCGGACATGAAGGTGGCACTAGTCCACGGGGAACGATCTTGAAACTACCCTTAACACTCAGCTTCCATCCCATACGCAGCTGCTCTTTCTACCAACGTAGATCCTAACCAAATCCGCGGTGCTTTCCTTAGGCCCTATGACTGTCCACAACGAGATGCAGAAACTCGCCCCAGCAGTCAGATGCCACTCTGAGCACGGGAAACGCGCTACACGAGTTGCGCCCAGCAGTCCTTCCAGGGCCGGGGGCCACGGGGGCGAGCAGCGGGGGGCTCCTTCCCGCGCCCGGCTGGCGAGCGCCTGACCGCGGCGAGGCTGAGCCAGGGCGCCCCGGCCGCCAGCCCGGGCGGCGGGCAAGCTCGCTCGCAAGCGGCACGCGGTCCCGGGTGCCCCGCAAGCGCTGCGCCAGGCGGACCGAGGCAGCGCCTCGGCCCGCATTCTGCCAAAACGAATCGTCTTGTGCCCTTCAGAATTACTTCGGCTTCGTGACGGACCAAAAGGACGCTTTGGGGCGATAAAACAGCCCCCCCCCCCACCGTCCTCAAGAGAGTCCCGCACTCTGCACATGACCAGGAGCTCCCTGCCCCCCCAGCCCGAGGCTGGACCCTCACCTCCTCCATGTCTGACCCGGCCGGCTCGACGCTCCCCCGGCGCAGCCGCTCTCCCCTCCTCTCGAACCTTCCCTTCCCGAGGACTCCCCGCGTGGCCGCCCAGCCAATCAGCGAGCACGCCCATCCCGGAAGCTGAGGAGGCGCGAAGCCCCGGATGGACGAGGTGGGGCATAGCGCGACTTCCGGCCCCTTGGACGCGCTTCCGGTCCTGGCGGGCGGAGGAGGAGGAGGAGAGGAGGATGAGGATGGCGGCGGCTCCGCGTCCGCTCCGGCCTCGAGGAGCGGAAGGGGCGAAGTTCGTGGACTTTCGCAGCAGCTCTCAGATGCGTGCAGGAAAGGCAGGGCGCAGGCCCAACGCAGTGCTGGGCATAGTGCGGCCCTCCCGGCAGCAGCAGCCCGTCACCCGGGGACTGCGCGGTCGGGTGGGGACTCCGTCCCGGGTCTCCCGGGCCAGAGCACCCGCCCAGCCCTAGCAGGCTCGAAGGATCGGCGAGGCGGAGGGTCGCGGCCCCTCAAGGCTACACTGCGCTGCTCGTGATTTTATGGTTTTGCGTTATATTTCAGGCCCACCTTTTTCTTTGTAAAGGACTCAAAGCAGCTTGCATCATTCTCCTCATAGTCTTGTCCCCAGAACAACAATCCTGCGAGGTAGGTTGTGCCGAGAGCCTGTGACTGGCTCGAAGTCACCCACCCGGTTGGCTCCATGGCTGAGCCGCATGGCCTGCATCCCAGGCGAATCCTGGCTAGACAACCACTTCTATTACCAACTTTGCAGCTGCCCCTCAATACTCTTAGGGTGAATCCCTTGGACTGTATGGCTTTGTTTTGGCGAAATTCACATTAAACATTAAAAAGATCACTATTAGTCTTGGGCAAGAAAGACTTGGATTACTGTAAATCGAGCTGCAAAGTGCTGGACTTGGGCCAGACACTGTCTCCACTGTCCCTAGCTCCCTTGGGTTGGTGTGAGGAAATATGAAATGGGAGGGCAACAAGTATGCGTGCTCCCATGAACTTCTCCAAGAAAAGGTGGGATGTATAAAGTCAATGCATTTGAGGTGGTGGATGTGCAACTATGGATATTTTCTGGTGGCAGGAAGAGATTCTGTGTGTCACTTTCTAGAGTTGTGGGGTGGGTAAATACAACTCTTGGCTGTTCTGTTCCTTTTCCGTGCAGCATTTGCTCAAGTGTGTGCTTTCAAGGACATGATCGCAACAATGGGCCCAGTGATTATAGGGATGAGTGAGCCACTGGCTAACTGAAATAGGAAGCTGCCAGAAGCTTAAAGCATCTACAGTAACAAGCCCTCAGTTATCGTGGCACTGTGCCATTTGAAAATCTCATTTGCAAAACATGCTTGACAATCCAACACAGAATGAGCATCATTAAACTTTATTGTACAGAACGGATAGGCTATTGCATTAATTTGGATTAAAATCAGAACAGGACAATGTCCTTGGAACATTTTTCATAACATGAAAAACAATACACGACTAACTTCTTATCCAGTAGTGATGCTGACCTGTGAGGCATTATTATACACATTAAGTATATTAAAAAAAATATTTCCATCAATTTAAGCAATAGTTTAATTCTCCATGAAATAAGCATTTCTATAAACATTTTATGTTCAATTCAAAAATGTAACAAATGTTTTTTGCACTTTAGAAAGATAAAAAACAAGTATGATTTCCAGACAGACACAGGAATCATCTGAAAAAAATTGCCTGACCAACCAAAGGTGAGAGATCACCTTCCATCTAAGTATGCTGAACACATCTGATCAGGAATGTCTCCTCCAGAGGCCCTGCTCACACAAATGAGAACTGTGCAAGAGCACAACAAGCACAATCAAGCAGAACGCTCACTTCCACAAGCTCTGACCATTTCAAAGGTGTCTGGTTGGAGGACTTTTGCTAGATTGTGCCCGACATCTGCTGATTGGCAAAGGAGAACCAGAACAGGGAAGTGCAGGGGCCTTTTGTACTTGCAATATATGAAATTGGCTATGGAATTCTTAAAGGCAGCATTACAAGAGACATGGTTTTACAAGGTATTTCTGGTAGCTTTACAATTTTTGTTTTAATAGGGGTTGTCCCACTTAATTACAGATGTGGCTTAAGAATCAGGCCATCAAACAGATATATCTTTGCAGGGTGTAATGGCAACTGTAAACCTTTTGAGATGTTCTGAGATACCAGAAAACTGATATTCCGACAAATGTGCTTTTTCTTCATTACTGTACCCTGCCCTTTCTTCTCCTGAGGAAAGCCCCCTCTTATGTAAGATAAAACAACTGTAAATAATTTTAGCAACATATGGAACATGTAGTTCTGAATTATTAGTTATATTTTAACATCTAGGCATACAAAATAAAAGTGTAAAATAGAAACATCTTGGGATGTTGCTTTCAGGAAGGCATCTGGGAAAGAGTATTCCACATAAAACAGGATTCTTTAAATATAACTTCCCTTTGGAAAGGGCCACATCAGCACAAATGAAAGACACAGAAAGAATTGGTTTCCAGGCTGGCTCACCTGCCTTTCCACCCCGCTCCCCTCCCTTGAGTAGGGGTGCTGGAGAAATCTCCAAGGGGGTTCAGCTGTTTTAGTCCGTTGTGCTCTTGTGCTGGGCCTCCAGCTGGGACTATGTGCTGCCCTCTTTGGGTGATGGCGACAGCTGAGGCTGCTGCAGTGGCTGTGTGCCTGTAGCTGTTTTGATAGAGTTCAGGGTTTTGCTAAACCAAGAGTTTCTGGCAGCTTGGATTTCACTCATTAGTGCTCCTCTCTGGTGTTCTAGCTCCTGTGGAGGGAGAACAGTCACTTAGTGGTGATTCAGGAACTATTCAACAAAGCGGAGACAACTTCAGGGTAATTTTGGCTGAAATGAGGAGTTAACAGTCATGGTGATACAGGTTAGCACAAAGTTGTTTTGACTGATAAACCAAAAAATCTTTCAGAGCCAATCTCTTTAGAGAGTATCATGGAGGTCCTTGACAGGTGAACAAGCAACAGTCCTACAACAACTTAAGTCCTTCCTTTTCTAGTAAAGGACAAATGAACTACTATTTTTGTAAATTCAAAGATCCAAGTAGGCCCTGTTAACAGGAAAGTATGACTAGTTCTGGCATGTGGCAGCTAACGGGAATAATAGCTCCCTTTTAGGCATGTTCACTCAGAATTAAGCCCCCCAGCTCAAGCTAGGTTTATTCTCAGGTAGCTGCACTGCCGACCGAGTGTGATCCATGGGAAACGGGCTGCCGTGCAGCAGAGCGACGCCGGTGCTTTACCTGTATTTTGCACTTGGCTTCCACGAGTTGCAGCTTGGTCTGCGCCAGGTCCAGCTCCATCTCTCTCAGCTGCTTTTTAAGGGCATCCTTCTCGTCATCTGCTTCTGCTTCTGAGCCTCCACTAGGCACGGGAGGCACTTTCAGCGTATCTTCTTTGCTGAAGATTTCACGGCAATGTTTGCAAGCCATCACCTTACCCTGAAACAGCCAGTTTGAGAGCCAGTTAGCCAGGAGGGCAGAGAGCGTGCTCAGCTTGGCTGGTGCTTCAGACACTGCGCAATCACTCTAATAAAGGTCTGGGAAAGTCGACTAGCTGCACGAGGTATGATGCAGCTAATGCTTCTTCTAATTATACGCTTTGGCAATGCGCAACAGCTGCCTCTTCTTAGGAGGAAGGTATTATGTGGATTGACTTTGTCTTGGAGCCATCCTTAATATTTTCTGATGTGCACGTCCTCCTAAATTATCTGCCTGCTTCCTGCCTACTTAACTCGCATTCAGTGCAAATGAATTCTCTGTACCCTTCCCACAGATCAGAGACTGGCAGCCCAGCCTTGGAAGCATAAGTGCTCACTTCCTGTAATGTAATCAATTGAGGACAGCAGGGCTATCTCCAAGTTTGAGCAGCTGGTACTAAGAGATTGCTCCTGGGTGGGTATGTATGTGACTGTGGTCTGCCTTTGTTGAAGCTTATGTAGAACTCTTAGCTGTATTTTCATATACACAAACTCAAACGCACACAGGAATGCACTGAAAGGTATATTGTAGTTACATTCAAATCTTTCTAGTTCTCCCTTTTTCCAACTGTGTTTTGTTGACATTGTATAATAAAATATATACATTTTAATAATAAAAATATAAATATACATCTGTCCCATCCAGTTTCAAGTGCATTTTTTTTCCGAAAATCTGTGTGAAATTCTTTAGGAAGAACAAACAAGCAAGGTACCTACAAGTTCATGAAGATGGTATAAAAGGTGCTTTTTTTTTGGTTAAACAAAACTTGCAGCTGCTAAAATGCAGAGCAGCCACCATGTGTCTTGGAACAAAATAAGAAATCTTCCTGGGAAGGGTGGTCGATCACAACCTGCTCTCCCTCAGAGACTTAGTCATGTTTTTTACCACCCACACTTTGGGAGCTTAGTCTCTTTCCAAGCTAGTTTTGCCCATTTCGGTGCTGCACAGCAGCTCTGGCGCACTAAAAGCCTTGAAACCTGCCAAAAGGTCTACTCTGGCATGTGCAACCCCAATAGTCCTGCTCCCGGTGGGGACTGCCTTGCGTGACTAAAGTGCACATGCGATTTCCCCATTTGGCAGCACAGCCAAGGCAGCAGGGCCCCTTCTTTTTGTCTTTGGTGGGGGACAAGGGGCCTCAGCTGGCTCATCTCCACCCACCCTGTCAGCCACATGCCTACTGCAGGCACACATCACCAACACAGCTATTTCGACGTAGACACTCCCCCCCCCCCCCGATTCCTCTGCACTCACCTTTAGAATCTCCAGTTCCTCTTTACTGGCGGCCTGCTGCCCCTCCAGCCTGCTACTCAACTGGGAACAAATCTGGAAGGAGACAACATGCCTTTCAACCCGAGAAAATGGAACACATCTCAATAAGGCATTAACGCTTCGTTCCCTCACAGCTGATGGGTGCAAGGCAGTTATTAAGCGCTCTCAGTTACAACAGAGAACCTGCAGCCAATGGAGGGAGTGTTGCACCGAGCAACTCGTGAGAGGGCTCTGGCACAGGGTCAGGAATCGAGAGAGACAGGCCAGGGTCAGGAGGTAGCAAATTAATTCATTTTAACTTTGGACATCTGCAGACCTGACTTGAGGAAAACAAACAGCCCAAAACCATTCTTGCTCCCTGGGATATTACCCATTGTAGATGAAGCCGAAATAGGGGAAAATAAAGCTGAGCACATTACTTGTTTATATTCTGCAATAATCGCCGTTGTCTTCTTTATTTCGGATTCTGCCTTCTCCAGCTGTTTCCGGAAGACCTCCTTCAACTGCACAAAGAGGAGTAAAAGCAGATTAGCCCTACACTCTGCGGGATATCCCAGCCATGTAACTAACCACTTATCTCAACATGCCCTTTTTCAAGTTCTGAAGTAATGTAATCCTTTATAATCATTTTTATTTGGAGGTACAATATTTCTCAGGGTGCAATATTTTCTCTCTAAAGATGTCATTACTATTTCTTCTGACTTTTGAGGTCATTAGACCCAAAGACAGTGCAGTATGTTCCACACAAGGTCTTAATCTTTTTTATTTTAAAAATCAGCTATTTGAATTAGGATAAAACGGGAAACCAGACAAGGGCACCCAGTGCTTCAGGATTTTTCAGGAAAGGGAATAGTCGCTTTTATCTAGGGAAGACAAAAATACATACAGAGCAATCCTATGGTCCAGGTGAGCATCCCAGGGACCACAGGTTGGCTCAAAGAAGTCCCTCTGACACTGCACCAACCGCAAAGGAAGGCGTTGGAGAGCTGACCCCAGGCTGCAGAACCTTGTTCCCTGCTTCTCCAAGGTCCAAAAATGTAAGGATTGTGCTTGAAGGGCTAAAACGGTGACGAAAGAGATACCCCGAGACCAGTTGCCTGATGGGTCTATTGCTGGCTATTGGGTTGTTCTTACACTGCCAAATGCTCCTCCTGTTCAGCCTATGGAAATGTGTGTGGCTTTACGTATTTTAGTTTGAGCTTTCTGTAAACAGAGTGCAACTGAGGACTGGATCAAAGGACTGGAAACATTCCACTTGTCACCCTAATGGGACCCCAAATCTGTCTGAAGGCCCTGTTAGGACTCAGAGTGTTTCATTTAAAATCCCAGTATCAGCTTCAGAAGTTGAGTCTTTATCAATACCATGGTAGAGACAGAAAGCTTAACTTCCCATTCCTGAAGCAACTGATACAACAAGAACACACGTTAATTGCATTCCAACAATTCAGCTCTAAACTGGTCCTCAGACAGCTACTTTGCCTTCCCTGATGTGAAACCACCCTTTCCAAAACCACCCAAGCCCAAACTCTGGTCCCTTTCCCTGTTTGGAATGGGCTGGTTTTGGATAACCCTGTGAAAAAGACGCCATGGTGGCTTCTTTCCATCCCAGCTCATGCAAGTTATGCATGGTGTAATTTGCCTGACTGCCACATTGTCTGAACCCCACGAGGCGCATGGCAGGGGTGGCTTTCTAACCACTCCCAATTGTACAATATGCCCCCTGGTGTTCCGGAGTGATTTCAAAATGCCTCCTGCCACACAGGTCTGGATGGCAGCAAGCCCATGTGCCACAGGAGTGACTAGGGAATCTGCAAGTGACCAGTCCCACATTTCCCCATGGCCTGGCCATGCTGGGTTAACGTGCTTTGCAAGCGGGTGGACGGTCCGCCACTCCCACCAGCCGAAGTCAGTTTCACCTGGGCTGTTTCTTCCTCTTGTTTCCGCTTCTCCTCTTCTGTCTCCACTAGTTTCTGTCTGGTCAGAAGCAGCTCTTTATTCAAAACATCCGCCTTGTCTTCAGCCTGAAAGTTCAAAGGATGGCGTGGCTACCCAGAGCTCACTCCTGAGCAATAATATTGCAATTAACCCGGCAGGGAACCTCCCCGCTCTTAAATCATTAGGCAAGTCTGTACACTCGCTATCAAGTCTAGTCCATGGGGATTGTTACCACGCTTGCCGACGTGATACCGGCCCAGCCAGGTAGGGTCACATACGAAGGCTTCCCTCACCTGGTCCAAGTCATTTCGCAGAGCAATTTTGCTGGTGACAAGTTCGTGTGCCAGGTCGTCGTTCTCTTGCTCAAGTCGCATGCTGGCTTCCTGAAGCCTGCGGTTCTCCCTCTGCAGAAAAAGAGAAACCCACACAGCAGGAAGTTAACCCTCATTGGTACTGAACAAGACGCTGCGAGTGGGGCGTGCAAGCCGCCTGAGCTACAGAAGGAAGGCCGAGAAGGCGCTACTAATCTGATCTAACACAAGCTGAGCACTTAATGGATGTTGGCCACCAACCTCATTCTTATGAAAGTTATGCTCCTTGGGTAAGAGGGAGCAGCGCTCTGATGCCCTCCCCCCCGATATGTGGGTGTTATCTTCAGCCCTTCTCCCTGTCATGGTCATCCTGCAAAGCAGTGATTGTACCTTTGGCAGGAAAAGCCTATAGTTCGTGACTGTATCACTGCCCCTCTCATGCGCGTAAATAGCCACCCACACGACAAGGAGAAAATATGTGTTCCCTATGCACACTTTCAGAAGTGCTATGCTTTTCTGCCTTATGAGCTGGCCTTGTCAAAATAAGTTTGTGAAGTGTTTCATCACTCAATTCACTCTTGCCCCTAGTAGCAAACTTGCTGTACTTCAATTTCTCTTGCCTTCTGAGTTTTCTGTATCAAATAAAGTTACTTCCACTTAGCTCCTTCCCAACCCACATAAGCAAGAGCAAGGCGCGTGCACACAGAAGCTGCCAAGGAAGAAGAGCAAATGGCAAAGCTCAGGCTTTCGAAATGTTTTAAGGTTCGATCCTATGCAAGCTGAAACGGAAAAGGGTTCTGCTGGGTGGGCCATGCTGTGAGTAGCAAGTCCTATTTTGTCTCAACTCCAAAAGGACTGTGCCCTTAGTCTTGCCTATGAAACACATACTTTTCAGCTGTCTCAGTGGGCATCTGTGTTTTTAAACGCGGCTTTGAGTCATGTTCAATTGTTAAGCCACTTTGGGAATCCATAGAACTGAAAATTGGGTGAACTGTTTTTAAAGTAAGGAGCTTCTTTTGGTAACGCTTATGCATCAGCTTAATTTACAGGAAAGATTGCTGGCCTGCAAGAAATGTGATAACAATTATGGGTGCAAAACATATTACTTTTCCGATCAGGGTAACAGTAAAGTCCTGTTAAACCAGAGTGTAAATATCGGAGCAAAATACTTCTAATACAAAAGGGTAAGATCCACTACCAAGCAAGTTATGAGACCAAAAGCAGAGCAGTTCCAGCTGCATTCACACGTCACGTTTAGCACTGCAGCCTCAGTCAGTATGTGTAACTGTGAGGAAGCCCAAGATCCAAAAGCCAATCCTGTGAGGGCCACATCTGCCTAAACATTCAGTTACAGCCTCAACGCACTTGCTATGCATCGTTAGCTTGCTAAAAGGCACTCGTTAGAATGTAGATGTGCAAGCACTTCCCTATTAGGAAATTTATAGCTGATGGGAAAATATTCAAAATTGCTTTTTCAAAAAGAAATACTGTCCCCTCTCTATTATAAACAGATGGAACAAGGTCACATATATTATATGAGTATTACCTAACTGAGGATGAGGATCTTTCTCACCTAAATTGGTGCGGTCTCCTCTCAGGACTACTGCTTCAAAAATTTGTCCCTACCCTCCTGCTGCTGTCCAGGAGTAGCAGCCGTTTCTCCAAACTAACTAATTCCCTTGGCCTTTCTTCTATTCCAAGAAGACTTCACACATACAGAGAAGTACATTTAAGCAACAAGCTAAACTTTAGCACAAAACCGAGAAACAAGGACATTGCTCAACATGGGGGACAGTAGATCAGTTTTCTTTAAGGAGAATTGTTCTTTATGTTGTCTTCAAAACAATCCTTAGATCTTCTTAGAAACTGCAAAGAAACTCTGTATCTTGTGGATGAAGTTGTCAAATCAAGATTAGAAATAAACACGACTCCTGTGAATTTCACTATAAATTAAGACAATGCATTTTCACTGATATTTTACTACTGGTTTGTTGCTACTGCTGCTGGTGTTGTTCCTGGAAGTGACGCTGTGCCCACAGCAGTTACGCTGACCCTCGACCGCTATCTATGAGACTGAGAGGAACCAGCAACTGAGCTCAACTACCGAATTCAGACGGCGAGGGACCTTAAGTCCCACCATGAGATATGGGAATATATAAAAAGTCCGCCAAGATGTGAAAGCAACTCTGTAACGAATCCTCTTCAGGTATGCACAAGCCATCTGCAAGAATAAATGCTTCTATTCTGTTGTTCAACCACAAGACATAAAATCAGTTTCTTACAGTTAGCCAACAATAATAAAAGAAACTCGAACTGGCAACTCTGCTGCTTAGCTTTCTAAAAACAAACACCTAGATTCTGTTATATGGACTGTTCTAAAAGCGGAGGCCCCTGATAGAACTGTGGCTAATAACTCAATGGAACTCTCTGCAGCTTTGAAGGGAGTTATCTTGCCAGAACAATACTTGGTTGACGTCCTTTGCTGTGTGCTTGCTAAAAGCTTCAGTGTTTGCAAAGCAAGCAGCACAAAGTGAGCTTCAGACTTCTGGATCTGCGTTTACAGACAAGTGGGCAAGCAAGCTGTGCGGCAGGAACTGCAGTGTCCTCCCCTGTAACAGTAGTGGGTCAGATTTGAAGATGTGCATGCCTGTGGCTGGAAGAAAGCAAGCCCATGAGTCCAGCACAGTCTTATTTCGTGGCTGATCATCACTAGCAAGATGCCAGTAAATCAGCATTGATTAGGCCCAATTTACCATGCTTTTTCTCCAGAAAGGAAGCATGTCACATCAGAATTAGCCTCTGTTCTCTATCCTTAGCAAGAAAGATATCTTTGCTGCTTAAAATTATTTTAAAACACGGTGAAATCCTGGGGGACACTATTATCCCAGAGGGAAAGGCACTTCAGGCCTGTCAAAGAAAAGCAGACGAATTCTGCCACCTCTTGGGATGCTTCAGATTCAATTTAAATACAATCCACTTCTTCATACTGCTACACTGTGGAAGCAGCGCTTCCTGGCCACGCCAGACTCCTGGTGTGTAAACAGAGGCCTCCTGCACTGGACCCCGATGGTACCACAACTGTAGCAGCTCCCAATACTGCACCCCCAAATCCAAGTTGTAGTCTCCACAGCCTTGACAGGGAAGGGTGATGGGGAGGAGATGGGAGGGGATCACCACTTGCTACCGGCTGACAAAGAGGAGACTGCATTTCCAAACCAGAGAAAGATACAAAACACAACAGTATGCACACAGATAAAACTTACCTCCAGCAAAGTCACAGAGCAACTACTGCTTTCAATCATGGATAAAAAGTTGAGGGGTGGTAATCCAGTGAAAGTTAAATACCGACCAAGAACAATTAGGAAGCAAACAAAATCCCAGCTTCAGAGAGTTCTGGGTGGAAGGTTTGGCTTGGTCTCAACAATAAATAACTCATTCCAGCTATGACCTACTAAAGGAATCAGTTCAAAGAAGGGTTCTGAAAGCCAGAAGGCACGTCTCAACTCTGGGAGGGCCCCTGCACCGAATTCTGCCCAAAATGAAAAACAAACACACAGAAATACAAGCCTGGCTGATGCAAACAGACCTCTCTGTTGTTCCTAGGAATGGGTGTGACTCTGTGTCACACACCTTACTAAACATCTGCCTTGCATTTTATTGCAACAGAGTCAAGTGTTGGGACACTTAGTTCCTTTCGAACAAGGTCTTTAAAAAAAACAGTCCGGATGTAGGTGGGTTTGAAATCTTGTGGATTCAGCCAAAAAGGGAACTGCTAAAATGCTAAGTGACTTACTGCAAGCAGCCCACATCACCAGGTTATAAAAGCTAAAGTTAGCTTAGATGCTACATGAGATTTTTTCCATTGTGATGTCTGTTGCTATGAGCGATTTAAGAACACTTTTCCAGAGGACCAAAAAATCAGAATGTTGCTCTTAAAAAGAAAAACGGGACAGCTTGATCTTTTTTAACCTTAATCCTGCAGTTCAGGAAGACGACAGAACTCAAGTTACTAGGGTGTCCACATTTACTCTCTAGTAATAAGGTATAAATAGGGAAAAGCACATACTGACCAATGCAACGGACTGGTGACAGCATTCAACTGGGCTGCTCCTTCCTTGAGGCAGAAATGTCTGTCCTGAGCTGCTGATTTTGGGTGATGTGGAGGGGGAGGAGATTTCTGTGCAATTTTTAATTGCTGTGCTTCTCCTGCCAAGGCAGGGGCAAGATGCATGTGCATCTTTCTGCCTCAGGTGCCATCAATCCTTGGCACGAAGCCCCTCCACTTGTGGGGATGGGAAATGCAGTCTGGACCACTCAACATGAGGCTATGCCCCCCCCCCACAAAAAAACAACAATAGGAACATTCAGTCACCTTCTTCTGTTGCATAAGATATTTAAGCCAACAAACCCTCTGAACACCAGGAATCTCTGCGGGTGTATCTGCTTGCATGTCTGCTCTGCTCTAAGGCGGCGAGCCAGGGGCTTGGCGTTGGCTCCTCCAAGGACCCTCGGTTTCCAGCAGGTGCTGCCTTCTGAAAAATGGCTCCCAAATCCACTACCAAAGATTAACTTATACATTATATGCAAATCTAAGTATTCAATTTCGAAGTCTGCTCACTTTAGAAAAACACCTTTGGAAAGGGATGAAATGAATGGGAAGTGTCCAGGAAGGGCTGCTGAACCTTTTCCCTGCTTGCTCCCCCGTTCCAAAGCATTCCTGCATCCCCAACAGCGTCTCCATGCAGGGGGTTTCAAAGCAGCATTCATGAAGTCAAGCATCCATTAGGAGTTTGAGAGTACAGTGGCATCAAAGGGAAAAGCAATGGACGGGTTACACATCCCCTTTGCTTCTCTCCCCTCAACTGCCCGTCAAGAAACGCCACACTCGGAGTCTTGCAGGCATCCGAGGCTGTGGGAGGGGACGGGGAGGTGACCCTTGCCTCTCCACTCTCCCCACTCCACATTTTTGCTCAGTGGCCATCACAAGGGTGCTTTGGAGTGGGAGAGGAAGGTCAGAGCTGCTTCTGGGTGTCTTCTTTCTTGCCTCCCACTTCTCCGAGGATGCCGAGCAGCCACTGGGGTTCTTTGCCAATGGGCAAAGCCCTAGGGGAGGGAGAGCATGCCTTCCCTTCCCAGCTCTGAGGGCAAGGCGCTTTCCCCAAACCTCCACGCTGTGAATCCAAGGTATCGTGTGGCTGCTCAGAAAACGTCTAGAGAATCCTTCCCTGAATCATAGAAGAGAGGCTTGGAACAATTATTGTGCTGGGAACCTGGATGCATTGGTTAATTGCCTATTTTGAGACCTTCTAGTTTGGTTTTGGCATTCCCTTAAACATTTGTTTATAGAAAATGACAAGAATTTTATGTTTCTGAGTTATATAATTTCACAGAAGGTATTGCCACCTGATTCTTACACCCAAAGTATTCTGAAGGCTGCAGAAATAAAATCCACATGTACACTCACATTTTTCCCCAGAAAATGCTCCGAGAGAGCTGTCAAACTGCTCCTTAAACTTCTCCATGCTGAGAAAACAGTTGGTGGATTTGATACAAACATATTTAAACACATAAACTGGAGGAAAATAATGCAAGCAGATGAACAGCCCATGTGCCAACCTGTTTTTTTGATCTCGGCAAGGTTCTAAGGAAGAGTAGTTTGAGGGTTCTCATGGAGGCTTTTTCTGGCAGGCAGACTCCCGACATGAATTTCAGCGGAGTGCTCTGAAGAGCACATCACAGCCTGTACAGCATTAGCCTGCATATCAGGCAACGCCACTCTAACTCGCTCAAAAGAGCAAATGCCTTTCCTTCCTGTAAGGAAAAAAGTCATACCACATGGACATTTTACACAAATCAACAAAGACATTCTACACTACTTCAGGATTCTCAGCAAACTTTTAAGAAAATTCTAGTAAATGTCTTTCCTCTGCTACAACTGTAAACGCAAAAGAAACCTAGGAGGGTAAACATTCTCAGCTTTGTTTGAGAAACTGTGTCCACTCGAACAACTTCACTATTCACAGGAGCCACCTGCATGATGGTTAAGAAACCATGACTGGTCCTCTCCACAGGTGGGTGTTCCCACAAAATGAGTTGCACTTTCTCTGATGGAGGGTCGAACCTTAAAGATGAGTCTGCAATAGGATGCTGTTATCTGAATGCTTGGGGAGATTTAAAATAAATCAAAATTATAGATAATAGTTCCAGGAAAATGAGATTATACCATTAGACCAAGAAAATTTGAATAAATACACAGTTTGGCAATTCACAGCTCTATCTTATTGATTACCTTAAACGTTATTCTTTATAAGGAATAGAATTGGCTTTAATTTTTCTGAGTTGCAAAACCAGACAAATCTATCTGAACATCCAAGAGCTGGCCATGCTTCTACAAAGGGAGAAGAAACCGAAGCACATGGTGGACACCTAATGGGACTGATCCCAGATCAAGAAGCATGAAAGGCTCCCACTTCCTACCCTGAGAAAATTTAGTGATTGGTTTTCTCATTGCATCAAGGACAGAGTGAAGAACATTGGGTAAGCTCATTTTGGTAACTAATGAATCCTCCAGCTCATTAACTGAAGTGCTAGTACACTGCGATGCTGAATTCTCCCTTGATCCCGAGAGATGACATTAAGTCTTGACAGCAAGTGAAGCAGGTTTCAGTTGGAGCTGCAGAGCAACTGGATGAACCAAGCTTGTCTTGGTCACCACAGGATAAGAACCCTACCTGTCCCATCAAGCTTGCTTTTTTTTGCTAGGATCCTTGGGAAGGGCTGGAGGAAGTTAAAATCATGTTCCTGGCTGCTGCAGAAGAAAAGCAACTTTTAGGAAATTCCAACCTGTGCTGCTCTGGATGCAGAAGAGGGAAGAAACTCCATCGTACACCCAAGTGAACAGGTCAACTGTCGGAACAGCTCACCTGAAGAGAGCTGTTTAGGTGGTCATATGGATGGCAGCCAAAGAAATGCTCCGATGAATGCACCAATCCCATACCCACCATTCCAGTGAGAGCCTCCCATCCCATCCCATAGTACTGGTTCAGATAAAACACAGTCCATGGCAACTTGGACATGTTGGTGAGGGGCCATGGTCTCAGGTCCTTCCTCCTGTCCAACAACTCAAGGCAATTTATAGGATTCAGAGATGCCAGTTTATGAGCCTTGAAAGAAAAGAGACCTACAGTGAGTCCCCACCTGATGACAGAAGCGTTGGGAGTCATGACCCAAGCGGAAGTAGAATGCACTCCTTTCTAGAGACTGGGAACCGAGATCCATCATCAGTGGCTGCATCGGTACAGTGGGCACTGCTGCCAGGCCTGAAGGAAGCAATCCCATACGATGACTGGGAAGGGCAACGAACACAGCTGCGGCTCTCAGGAGCTCCGACCATCGTGAGCTCTTCCAAGCTCTTTCATTTCAGGCCAAGCGATTCTGAGTCGCCAGGCACGGGCCTGGGAAGCGGCCCTTGCCACTCGCACAGTGGAGGAGAGACCGAATCCTACCTCTTGCTTCACATGTTCTTTTTAGGACACAGCATTTCCCACCCACAGTATTTTCAGTGACGGATAAAATGCCAGTTCCGCCTCCGGAAGTCTGAACCCAGGGCCCTTCCAAAGAAAGAAGGGGCCTCTTAACCCTCTCCATTAAAAGCTGACTAAAACGGCATCAGGGGGAGTATGGAACATCTACAATACAGTAAGCACATTTCTCCCTATTTCTGTTACTTGACAGACCAAGGGATGCCTCCAGAGGGATGGTGCCTGCTCCTTACTACGTTATTTCCCACCCTTAAGCATTTTTTTGTGATGAGAAGAATGATGCACCAAGTAGGCAGGTTACAAATGGAAGATGATGTCATCTGGACCATGGTAACATTCGTGAATGAATCGGGGTAATCGCACAATAAAGCCTTCCCTAAAAGCACCTAAACATCTGAGAAAAGTCCACTATAGCAACAGGCTATAATCCTATAAATCTGTGCTGAGCAGGAATGTAATGAAGCAGCATGCCTGAGCAATACTTTAATTAAATGAATACACATCGCCTGGTGACCACATGGGCGGGAACACGATGGAAAAGTTATTCTGACCTAGAATTCAGTCTATTCTCTATAGCAGCACAATAAAATAACAAAGTATTATTCTATTCCACATACTCTAGGAGATGGTTTCATCTCTTCCAGTAAGATTTTTCTTTGTTGTACTTTTAATGTCAACCAGGGGAACCAAGTAGGTACTAGTACATCATCTTAACAAACATTCAAGCAGGGGGAAAGTAACCTTTATTACACCTGTTAGTAGTTTGACACAATGCAACCCATCAGAATTAATAACCAGGATTAATGTACTACATTTCAAGGATCTGAAGTATTTCACATACTACTACATTTCAAGGATTTGAAATATTTCACATACATTATCTCAATAACCCTTACAACAGCCCTGTAAGGTGGGCCAGTATGATCGCTGCCATATCATGAGTGGTCGGTGGCTTGCCAGGAAAGCTGTGACTGAATCCGCATTTGAACCGGGAATTTCCAGGCTCACTTACCACTACGCTACACGAGAGCCTCTTCAAGCAGGGGAGCGCGGAGCAACGGCCTGCTAAAAGTGGGTGCAGTGAAAAGCGTCAGGTGACAGAGGGACTCCGCGCTATCCTTTCTTGCAACCAATGCAACAGAAACTCAACTTGGCCCAACAGAAGGCATCGTCTCAAGGCTGCTACAAATATTAACAGATCATCAGGAAGTTTTGCCCTGCACAGCGGGAAAAGCCAGCCAGCCAGTCAGTCTTGGAAGCATTCGCCTTCCAAAATGTAGCTATGGCGGTGAACCACACACAGTTCTGTCTAAAGCATCATACATTTCCTTTTCTGTGTCTCAGTGGCAGAGAATCTCTCTCTCTCTCTCCCTCAGCATCCCATGCAGTTTCCCAGAAAAGTTCAAACGCAGAAGAATTACCTACAAATATATAAACTGAAAGAATAAACATATTATGTGAGGCTGCTGGAAGAAGGTAGCTTTTAATGCTTTAGATAAAATACAAATTGTATTTCACATAAGAGTAATCTGTCTGAAAGGAGCAATTTTAAATTTGCCGCAGCACACTTTGTGCCAATACTGTAACAGTGTGGACTTCACTGCTTTCCCCTGGTTTTGTGGAACTCAACCAGCAGAAGCCACTTTCATGCTTTGTGCCCCATTACCTTGTATCTGTCCAGAGGGTCTTCCTGCTGCAGCTGATTTTCCCGCATCATCTGATACTCTCTCTCATATTTCTTCAGCTTCTTTGTGGGTACCTAGAGAGAGAGCACACACCAAACTGGCAGTGTTACAAGAGATGCTCAGTGGAAGGCAAAATGCTGCACACAAAGGTTAGCAGGTTTCCTGAACATCAGGGACGGCCATTATCCCAACAAAGCCCACTCCCTGCTTGATCCTGGTATGCAACAAGTCCCACGTGCCCCTGCACTCTGGCAGTCTTCTAACAGCAAGAGTTAAGTGGGCCATGACTAAAGGTGGAGGGACTGGGCATCCCATGGCCCTCCTGTAAACCGCACACTGGAACAGGGACTCCCCACGCCCCCGCAGGGTTTATCCACCCTTTGGAACAGATGAATCAGGGTCACAAGAACACAGGCATTCAGAAAACCAGCTGACTGGCGTGCCCAGATGTGCAGCTGGGGGCGGTGAGAGTCGCATCCCCTCCAGACCTGGAGCGCCAGCACAGGCTTTAGCAGCCCCAGGCAAAGAGGCGGCAATGGAAGTGGGTCAGAGGCAATCTGCCCCCTCATGGCGTGCGCTGCCTGAACCCGCCTCCTGAGCAAACCAAAAACAACTACGTCAAGATGGGGAATAAGAACGGACAAGCAGCACACGCAGACTGTTAACACTCTGCCGCCCAGACAGGCGGAGGTGTGCGATGCCAAGCTGCGCAGGCGACACCTTGTTGCCACTGCCACGTGTCCAGGTAGAAAGGCGGACTGCAGGCAGAAAGGGAGGTGGGGAGGACCGGTCACCTGGCGTGCAGATGGCCAACTGCGTGTGTCCCCAAGGAGGAGCTGCCCAGATGGAGGCGGCCTATGTTGTGAGCCGCCCCGAGGCTTCGGCAAGGGGCGGCATAGAAATGTTTTAATAAATAAATAAATAAAATCGCAAAGTATTTTGTATTTCCTTTGTAGGCTTGGTGGTAAAACTCCTGGCCACACCCTTCAAACCAGATTTTGAAGGTGAGATTCCAAGCCTAAGGGAGAGCTTTCTGTCCCCTCCTAACTCTCTGCACCTGGGGACACAGCCGATTTCCCAGCATGGTGAGTTGCTAGGATACCTCTCTGCAAATGCCTCAGCTGTCCTCTGATGTTTTGCCGGATGACATCAGGAAAACAAGGAAAGGCACACAAGCTCATGGAGCAATCACTGCCGTTAACAATCTGGGGACAACTGGGTTCACCCAACATGGCAGCCCATCATAAGTGAAAAGCTATGGTGCACTGCCATGTGGTAAGAAACCCAGGCTGCTTCCTGGAGTTTTGTGTGCTTGTGTTTTGTTTGCTTGCACCCTTATTTCTGTATATGTGTTTGTGGTTCTC